ACAGACCACCTGTGTGCTTTCACTTAAGGGGGAAGGTTAGCGATCCAGCAGACCTGGCTTCCAGTTTAATCTTTGCTGTCACTGTCTGTGTGTGTTAGTTCCCCAGGGTTTCCATTAAAAAGGAGCGGAGGCCGAGAGGCCTGAACGCTACAACACTATTGTCTTCTAGATCTGAGGCTGTGTGGAAGTCTCGGGTCAGGATTGCAGGAGGTTGGTTTCTTCTGAGGCTTCTCTCTTTAGTGTGAAGATTGTCATCTCTCCTTGAACCTTTACAGGGTCCCCTTTGCATAGATCTAATCTGCATCTCAACTTTCTCTTCTTGGAAGGGCACATATTAAATTGGATTTGGGTCCATCCTGACCATATTTTATAGCTATTTAAAAAACTCATCTTAAAAACTCATCTTTAAAAAAACCCATCTTAAAAAAACTCATCTGCAAATACAGCCATATTCAGAAGTACGGGCATCTAGAGTTTCATATGTGAAGAGGGCAGGGCAGAGAAGTAGTCCATGCACAACACTGTGTGACCTTGAGTGAACCATTTCCTCTTTCTGTAAGTGTCCTCAACTGTAAAATTAAATGAAAGTGGAAGTTGGAAGCACTCTACAGTTCCCCTCAACTTTTAAAATAAAAAAATTGTTTTTATTCAATTTTTGTGTATTTCATACAAAACATCTCAATCAATCTTAATAATCTTTATACTCCCGTCCCCACCGGCACCTCCCATACCCCCCCCACTGGAGCCCATATACTCTGTCACCCCTGTTAAGGCTGGATGGCCTCTCAGTGGATGGGTTCCCCTCAGCTTTGTCATGTCATCTTTTCACTCTTTCTCTGATTCCTCCAGGTAGCTATCCTAATGCTGCAAACATTTACTAAGTTCTCTTATGTACCAGAAGGCATTGGGGAACAAACAGTGAGCAGGAAAGAGCCTTCCCTTGCTTCCCTTGCTTACTGTCTAGCACCAAGAAACAGACTCATTTAACAGGCTGACGGGTGCCTGTTTCTTATAGTCAGTCTTGTAGTTCTTCAGCAGATTGCCTTCTTTCCCCACAGCATAGGCCATTGGTACACATCCATCTTTTATTTCCATTATATCTTGCACATCTGGCAAATAGTAAGGCCTGACAAGAAATGTCTGAACAGATGAACAAATAACAATTACAATGTAAAATATGGTCTGTAAGGATGACATCAAAGGTGGTTCAGATCCATAAGTCATTCTATTAAGTGCTGATTTC